AAAAGTACTTTGGATTTCCTTTTCCATGGAGTCTCTTAGTCTTTCTTTCCTAATTATGTAATGGAGTGATGCTGACACTTCCATCCTCTGGGTGACCAAGTTCCAAGTCTTGTGCCCTAATTTGCAGGATCTTTTAATTGGGAAACTGATTAAAAATTATGTCTGAATAGAGTAAATATTGCTGCCATGCATATCGAATTCGCACATGAATGATTAAATTTCAACAATAATTGCTACTCTCTTGTTTTATTTTCAAACATTTGTTTTCAGAAAGGAAAATTGGATGAAGTTAATTTCATATTAGCAAGTCATGGTAGCTACATGCCCCAGCTTTATGGAAATGACTCTTGGGTGGAATTTATTGAACTGGATATAGATGACGCTGAAGATAGAACCGAAGGATCAGATACTGAAAGGCTCCTTGGTGATGTTCACACAAAGTCTCATGGCTGCCTTGCAGTGAGGGATGATGATTCTGGACGGGCCAGCTGCTGTGAGCCTGATGTCCCAGAGACTGATTTTAGTGCAAGTGATACATGTGATGGAGCTTCTGACATTGATCAGTCCAAAAGGGTAAGTGATAAAGAAGAGGATCTCTTGTGCCTTGATCAAAAAGACAACGAGAAATCAATCCCAGGTCTTGACGATGCATCTGCCTGCTTGCCATTGGATAATCCAACCAAAGAACAGGACCTAAAATCCCATGTGCCTGCCACTGAGATAACCAATCCACTAGTCCAGACCCAGTTGAGCAATCAAAGTTCACTAAGGAACATTGATTTTTACGCACAAGTCAGCAACATTACACCAAGAGGAAGTGTTGTGCTCTCCCCAGGACAAAAAATGAAGACAGGAAAAACTCAAAGTGAAGCTCAGAGAGAACCAGTTGCACAGTGTCAATCAACCTTGGCCATGGACAATGCCTATTTCTGTGAGCTGGATGTGAAAAAATGTGTCACTGTCACACCCCCCAAAGAAGATGAGCCAGAAGTTCAAGTACAGAGCTTTTCAGAGGATGCTTACTTGACCACTGATAGCCTTGTCCTTCATCCTGTGATCCCTGCTATGGTAACAACAGCTGCAGAAGAAAAAGATCCGGAAGCTTCTGAGATACCTGTGGCAGACTATACCTCCATTCATATGGTACAGTCCCCACAAGGTCTTGTTCTCAACGCAACAGCTCTCCATGTGCCAAGCAAAGAATTCATCATGTCATCTGGCTATGTGAGCACAGAGCAACTTAACAAAATCTTGTCATAGGTTTCTTTCTTTTTTCTTTTTAGTATGTAGGAAACTGTATCATCCCTAGCTCTCTGAAGCTCAGAACACATATGGAGTTGGAGTTTTCCAATTCAGTACAGTGTTACAGAAAACGTCTGAAGTTCACAGAACACTTATTAACTATGATGTGAATGGGGAGGCCAATTCCCAAAAGGAATTCTGTGTTCCTATGCTTTAACCAGAGCCAAGGTGTCCAATAGATTCAGATGGTTGGTGATGATGCAGTCCTTTCCACTTTTACCTGTGTTGTTGAATCAATCACAGTATTGCTTTTGTGTCTTGTAAATATTGTCTAACCAAATGTTGCTGGTGCTGATTCAGTAGCATGACTGTCCTTCATTATAGGTGTTGCTTTGGGCTTCTCCCAAACACATTGGGTATCTGTGTCATGCATTGTAAATCATTTTTTTTTCTTCAAAAAGCTATTAGCAAGTGTGGAATTTTGTTTGTTTGCTCGCTTGTTTGAAGATTTTGAAATGTTTATACTGGGAATTGGAGAATGAAAGATTAGATAAAGAAGCAAAAAAAGTTTTGTTAAGTAAAGCATTATTATGGTTAATATAAATAGAAATCTACTTTAATACTTCAGGTAAGCAAGCATGAATATTTTATACTTGGACTACATTCTGAGGTTTAATTATTATGATCGATGTATGGAATGTGTCTGCTGCAATCAGTATAGCAATTACCAAAAGAATAAGGAAAATATTTTTATATCTCCATCAAAGCTATAGAGAATTTTAAGTTGCAGCGCTGCTGGGGGTGGGGGTGATCATTTCTTAAAAGCACTATTCATATTTTTACCTTTTGTAGCAAACTAAAAACATGTACAACATTGAATATTTTTGTATTGGTAAAACCAATCTGTCATTACAGTTTTATAACAGTAAAGCCTAAAATGGATTTGGAATTTGAGGGCTTTTTAGGAATACAATTATTTTTTTATGACTAAGTAGGCGATTTAATAGTGTTCTTCACAAGAAAGTGTTTACATCCCTTAAATTTTAAACAACAAACCTAATATTAATATAGAGTCAAAAATTATCATCATTTTAGATTGTGAATCGAATGAAAATACAAAATTCAATAGAACAGTATTATGAACAGTATAACTTTTTAAATTAGGATAATATGCTAATTAATACCGATGTAGGAAAGTTTTAAAGAATTAGTGTGCTTAAAGCCTTATGTGTATCTGTTCCTTTCTCAAGGTATGCCTTAACATACTTTAATTTTATATTTTGTTTACATAAACGAGGTTTAAATTCCTTTTCAAATATGCAGTCTGCTTGGGGTTTTTTCCTTGCTGTTTTCCAGACTGCTAATATTAATCTCAGCCTTAGCCTGTCTGGAGGTAACCCGTTCCTAAACGTCACGCAAATGTCACACAAACTTCCCAGAGTTACTGATTTGAACTGAGAGTTTATGACCTGGGGGTGGGAAGCCTTGTGCCATTTAAAGGTTCCTTGTTCTGATTCAGAAAGCTTCTCCCTTTAGCCTCTTATTGAATTTAGCTTCCCCAAGATCTTTAGCGCAGGTCTTTTACATTACCTATTGCCTCAGTCTATTATTTTTTTTTAAAAGATGTCAGGGATCAATCCGTGGACCTTTCTGCACATAAAACATGGATTATATCGCCGAGCCACTAATCCCTGACAGGAGCAAAAATGTGAATGGGGAAACATTGCAGTGAATTCAGAGGTACTCAGAGATGATTATAGGTTGTGCCCCCTATGGAAAGGGTGCAGATATTTTGCACTGATCACAATAATGGAAACCCACCAAAAAGAAAAAACGTTGGAAAAGGAAGGGGGAAGGAATGTGTAGGATTTGCCTCTGAACTGGTCTTAAAAGGATTTAAATCTAGAAGAAAAATCCTTCCTTTTCATTGCTGTTCCCTTCATGGGCCATTACAATTAATGGCCATATGATAAGCTGTGATAATAATGATAATGATCGTAATATGTAGATTATAACTGCCTTCTGGGAAATACGTTGATATTATACCTGGGTGGCAGTTTTGTTAGTATTGTTTTGATTTGTTTTAAAGAAGTAAGGTGAAGGTCTTGTTACGTGTATTTGCCATAGTCTTCAGTCTTAAAGACAAGTGTAGTGCAATTGTTTCTGGTTTATTTAGAAATAAACCATAGAATGTGCTATCGGGCCAACTTCCGTTTGGTGGGTTTTTATGTTGGCCAAACAAATAAGGATGAAGTTTCCAAAAAGCTCACATAGGACATCTAAATAAAGTTGCTTGGGATGACACCACCACGGAAAAAGAATGTAAGCTTCATTTATTTACATTTTTGAAAGATTGACTCTTTTTTCCATATAGGTACTCATCACACTAAGCTAATTGTCACTAGAAAAACTGGGGGTGGGAAAGAGGATGGTGGGAAACATTAGCAGGTTGTAAGAGACCCTGTCAGCAAAGAACAGCTAGAATGAAAAGAATACCAAGTGAGCAGATCTGACATCAAGCTTTAGTAAACATATGAAATGGTGCAGAAATTTTAAAATGACCACGCACCTGCTTCTCAGCTACGATGTTAATCCTGTGTTGTATAAGTAGGCCTTGAGTAGAAATGCACATTTTAGCTGGAGATTGAATCATAGTATAAGAAAATTGCTCAGAATCAAGTCAGTGCTTCAGAAATAAACTTTTCTGATATTCATTCTTTGGCTTGCATTTGGCTTTTGTATTTAAGATGTATTTTCTCTAACAGCTGGAACCTTTGATTTTAGGCACTATTGCAATTAGAGCTATGTAGGCCGTTCTTAATGACAAGGGAAATTAATGATACATTTCCCTTGATGGATGTTTTTTTTTCCATCACCAAAAACTAGTTAAATACCTCAATCTCAGAATGTCCTTTGGTACTTTGCTGGTTACGTAAAACAATATACCACAGTATGACGATTTGTGTATTTCTGTTTTATGTATTTAACTTGCCTTATGTCAGTGTTCTGATTCCATCCTCAAAGTTTAAATAAATTTATTTTCTTTAATTCATCATGATGTTGTGGCATACTTTATTGTCAAACCTTTACAATGAAGGGGGAGGGGGGACAATATCAAAAAAGATAGTTTACTGTCTTACATGCATTTTTACATGTTGTTTCTATGAAATATAAATGAAATCCGGGGAAATACATAAAGCATGATTGGCAGCCCTAATTTCCACATATTTTTGTTGCTGAGAATAAGGCAGTCCAATTCTGCTTATAGATATGCCAGATTGGGTTCTAAGAATTATAATCCCACTCATCTAGTTCAGAGCCCCTGATTTCTGTAGTTGTAGCCCTCGAGATACCTTTTGAAAACTGAAATCATTCTTTCACATCATTCTGTAAACCGTAAAATGCCACAGTTAAAACCCCAAGAAAAGTATGCAAAAGCCTCATCAACATACGTGGTGTGATCCTATGAGGTCTGCAGGTTACTCAGAAATGAAAAGGTTGCCCTCTGACCTACAGAAGGTGAAATTGCCTCATGAACTCTACTGCCTCCACTGGTGAAACACAGTAAGACATATTAGGAGGACTATATAGCTCCAAATGTAATGAAGGCGGATATTCTTTTGGTTATGGGAAAAGTTGGTCTGGGGAATTCTAAACAATATTTGATTCATTTAATTCATGAAGGACTCCACATGGAAATTCTAGCATCCTGAAAATTTCCAGAGCTGTTATTCCATCTTTCCATCTGTTTCAAAAGGAAGCATATAAATTATTGAATACATTTTAAAAATCAAAAATAAATTCCATAGGTGTAAGACACAGCAGGTGAAAAATTTCTCTAAATATTACAGGATATCTTTTGGCTTCTTTGTGAACTTCTGATTGAACCAATAGAAGAGAATATATGTAGCTCAGAGTTGAACTACAGGGCCCTTGATGCTCCCTGAACTTGGTTGTTTGTTAAGAGATGGTTCATCACATGCCTAGGTAACGTCATCAATGCACAGAAGATGTTACCTAGTTAGATAATGAAATGTCCACAAGCAAACAACTAAGTACAGAAAGCTCCAAAAACTCCACACTTCTGATTGTGGCACCGGTGAAACTAATTCCACGCCTCCAGAAAACATCACACAAAGTTCAGGGATTCTCTGGAGCACTTGAGTGATGAACACTTCAGCTTTATGATTCCTGAACACTTTTAATAGGGGATTAGGGATCAAAACCCTAGGTCAGTGATGGCGAACCNACAGGGGTCGCCTAAGACCATCGGAAAACACATATTTTTCAATAGTCTTAGGAACCAAGACACCAATTTTATGGTTGGGGGGTCACCACAACATGAGGAACTGTATTAAAGAGTCACAGCATTGGGAAGGTTGAGAACCACTGAGCTATTATTTTACTTGAACTCCACTTTAGCAACAATAAATGCAAGGCAAGCCCAAAGAAGCATTTAAACATGTGATACTTTTTCCTTAATTGAAATTGTTAGGCATTTTTAGATCTCTCCAGAATGGGAAAATATAATGTGGCTTTAAATTCTCCACATTTGTATTCCCTGAACTCTTACGAATCAATATTTCACATTTTAATTTTAAAACTAATGTTATGAGTAAAATTAAGGATACCAGAGGTCCATCTTGTGGCCACTATTTGCAATTTCAGGAGAGTTGGAATATGATAATACAGTTCATTTTTAAGTACAATTGCTGATATTTAAATAAGCAAACTTAAAATAGAAAATAATGATACTTCAGATATCAAATTTGGGTTTTCTTTCATTCTGCACATCTTGGAAGCATGTATGCCTCAATGCAATAATTTTAAAAAGTTTGTATAATTATCAAAATAACAATAACTTAAAAATAAATATAATAATTTTTCTTCTTTTCTTTTTAAAAGACTGCACTACATTCCAGAATGTGATTAAAGGTCTTCAACAAACTATAGAGGATCAATATAATTTGAGAGGTAAAGAAGTGCAATGTGGTTTCGTAAAATGTTATTTTTCTTGGTTGTGAGGGAGATCCGCAGTGGTGGGTTAAGATTGGTACGCCCCAGTACGGGCAATGTCTGCCGGGAGCACCGGGTAGCATTCCGGTACAATGCTCTGGACTGTCTGCCCACCCACCCGCACTCCTTACCGGTATTTGAGTTTTTCAGGCTTACACGCACCGTCACAGAGGCATCACAGAGCATCACGAGCAGTAAATACACATGTGCGCGCTGCATGCATTCATGTGGTGGACGCCCAGCCCCGTTGCACCGTACTGGTTGCAACGGTATCCAGAACCCACCACTGGAGATCCTGTAAAGATAGTCTTTGACTTAAAACCATTTATTTAATAACAGTTCAAAGTTACAATGACCTTAGAAAAAGCGCTTTACAAACTGTGGTCACCCTTACAACTATCACAGCATCTCCAGAGTCACATGATCACAATCTGTGTGCTTGTTAACTGGCTCATATTTACAAACTGTTGCAGCATCCTATGGCCCCATGATCATAATTTGTGCACTTTTTAACCTGTTTCCAGCAAAAAAAAAAAAAAAAAANAAAGTTCAGGGATTCTCTGGAGCACTTGAGTGATGAACACTTCAGCTTTATGATTCCTGAACACTTTTAATAGGGGATTAGGGATCAAAACCCTAGGTCAGTGATGGCGAACCTTTTCAGCGCTGAGTGCCCAAACCAGAATGTGTGTGCATACTGGACCCCTAGAAACTCAAAGACCAGCTGGCCAGTGCGCATGTGCACACTGGCCACTGGTTTCTGCCACGTGCATGCACGCCAGCCAGCTGGTCTTCATGAGCGTCGGAAACCCAAAGATGAGGGGTTCCAGCACATGCAAAGATCAGCTGGGCAACGCATATGCATGCGCCAGAAATCAGAAGAACAGCTGGCGATCGTGCGCGTGCCCCAGAGAGGGCTTTGTGTGCCACAGGTTCGTCATCACAGCCCCAGGTCAAATGAGATCAAAGCCTAGAGAAAAAAATTGAGCAACATTTAATGCAAATTAGACTTTTAGTAGGCAAAAAAACTTTCTCAAGTCATTATTTCAGTTGTGATTTACTCATTTCAAGGTTCTTATCTGATCGGCATGATTATATTTGCCAATAGATGATTCCTGGTTTAAAATTGGGTCCTCATTCATTAATAAATTACGAAACCCCAAATGGATTTTTTCTCCTTCCCTCCATCAGAAAAAGTAGGAAGGAAAATGGTTGTACTGCAAAAAGAAGACGAGGTGGACAGACTGAAATTGAAGTATATAATAATAGCTTTTAAACTAATAGTACAGCATTTCAGAGGATCTGTGATAAAACTTAAAAATATACGGAACAAATTATCATGTACTGAATAGCAAAAGTACAGTTTAAAAATTAGTCTGTGATATTTTTAATTAGAATTTGGGAAAATATTGATCCAGGTAATACAATGTATTACTAATGCGTACACGCAATAGAAACTTAGCCAGAGGTTTCTTGCTTGAATTCGTAATTTCTTTCTGTTTTGTGACTTAGAAACAACCTAGTCTTGAATTCTAGGTGTATGGACGTCTTCCTTTCTGACAATAATTGTGAATCTAAATAAATTGATAAAACCCTCAGATTTCTGCTAAAGACGAAAAAAAAAGGTCCTTGTTATTTTTGCTAAAATAATTGTTTCTATACAAATCAGGGAGCAGTTTCTATCGATATTAAGAATTAAAACAGCAAGTAAACAGCCATTTGCAATATCTAATCTCTGTGTTCTTTGTCATTAAAATCTCTGGTTAGCATTCATTAAATTTGTTCCCTAGAATTCATTAAATTAATCAACTCTGAACCTGAACCTAACGAAGCTGCTTCTGGTATCGTTTAATATTTCCAAGTATTAAAACATAGCATTAATTTCTTAGGCTTGCAAACATTTATTGCAATGAGCACAGTTAATGGTCTCTCTGGTTTTAAAAAAGCAAACTATAAGGATTGGGGAACCTTTTTGGCTGTAAACAATCATTATTATAATGATTGAACCAATAAATGGCGTACTTTAGGAAGTAAACTTTTGTCCACTCTTTCTCTTACAACAAAACACAGCTGATCCTTCTTTCATCTCTTTCAAATTTGTAGAAAATTCAAGCTCATGTCTTTCTTTTATCCCACCTTTATTATTTATATAAATAACTCAAAGTGGCAAACATACCTAATATTACTTCCTCCTCCTGTTTTTCCTCACAACCCTGTGAGGTGAGTTTTGCTTGGCAAAAGTCATTCCTGTCTGAGGCAGAATTAGAAGACCTTGTGACTTGAGGCCGCAAGGCAATACACAATACACAAGCACAGAAGACTTGAAGTCAACAAACTATTACACTGCATTAAAAATGTGATCTCTATATTTTTCAATACCTTCTCACATAGCCTCATAAATACAAGAGCTATTTATTTTCCCCTGCTCCTATTCTCTGCTTGTCATGTTTTCCATTGGTACTCATTTCAGGAGGCATCCATGCATGGTGCAATCTTCCATTTATTATAGTTTTCTCTTGTAGCAGCAAATCCCAACAGCCCCACAGCCCCAAGAGTCAATGACCCAACTCTTAAAGAACAACAGGAAAGGTGGAGATTCTTTAACAAATAAAGTGCTGTGAAGTAGAATAGAATAGAATAAACAGAGTTGGAAGGGACCTTGCAGGTCTTCTAGTCCAACCCACTGCCTAGACAGGTAACCCTATACCACTTCAGACAAATGGTTATCCAACATCTTCTTAAAGACTTCCAGTGTTGGGGCATCCACAACTTCTGGAGGCAAGTTGTTACACTGATAAATTATTTTAACTGTCAGGAAATTTCTCCTCAGTTCTAAGTTGCTTCCCTCCTTGTTTTCATATTGAATCCCTCAATACCTGACTGGGCCTAAAGGAGAAAAAATGCATGTGCATATGATGCCAATGGGCAATGTTAGACATCAGTGATGGCAAGGGTGTCTGCAAGAGAGGTCAAAAAAGTCAAATGGCCGCTATGATTGCGTAATTGATTTTTAAAGTACATTGGGCATGCAATACA